GGGGGCGGGGCCCAGTTGTCGTCCAGCTCAGTACCTGCACTGTTGCTGCTTGGCCCCCACTTCATCTAATAACAGCACCTCACCTCTGCCTGCCCCCCAGTAAAGAAACTGCCAAATAACAAGCTCCCCTCAAAACAGCCTAAAGCCCAGGCCTGTAATTAAATCTCTGTTCGCAATTACGTGGTAACCTCCAAGAGCGAGGATACTGGCCAGGTCTGGAATGTGGGGTGGGATGGGGGCCCGAAAGTTGCAGTCTCCCCAGAAACTCAGGCCTCTGTCAAGTTTGTCATCTTCCTGCCACCAAAGCCAAGTGCTCCTGGCTACGAGAGTGCACGCTGTCTCCGAGGGCAAGCGGAGGAGTCCTGAGAGCCACCTTCATCGTCACCGGGTTTCTGCAGCTAGCTGTCCACGGGCCAGAGTCAGACTCCTGCTCATCCCAGTCCCAAGTGATGCTGAGCTGCAGGTCGTCTTGTCCAGCCTCTTGTTCCAGGCCGGAGACACCTGGTGCCAGACCAGCTCCTGAGACCACTTCCTTTGGCCTGCGGGGAAGATGAGCTCCACCCCCTGCTTCGAATTCCTCTGAGCTGGGCAGGCTAAGAGGAATTCTGGCTAGTGTGGGCTCCTACGTCCTGAGAGGAGAGAGACTCTGAGAAGTCCTGACCTGGTCCCTGAGAGTGGAATCCAAGGTCCAGCTCTGGGTAGGGAGTGCGTACTCGGAGGCGCTGGGGAGAGACTCCTTTCCCTCTGTAGCCATGGGCTCTGCCGTTGGACCATGACATGGTGGGAAAGGTCATTTCTGGGGACTAGGTTTCAGTTCTGACTACGCTGCTTAGCAAGGGTGTGACTTTGGCTGAATTACCACCTCTCTGAGCCTCAGTTTGTTCATCTGTAAAACAGGGGCTGTTAATGTCAGGTTGTTTTCAGATTCAGAGAGATAGTGGTTCAAGTACTCAGCAGAGTCTGGCTCACGGGAGGATCTCAGCACCTGCATGTTCCTGTCCCCTCCTGCACCGACTCTGGGCATGGAGATGCTACACAGAGACGGAACAGAGGCCAAGAGAGGCTGCAAGAGAGCAGTGATTCAACAAAGAACCTCAAGAAGGAACACTCAGCCAGGACCCAGGAGACAGGGTGGGACAGGTGTCTACAAGGTCACCTTGAAGGCCAGGCAAAAGCATCCTATTATAAAACACACTCTACAATCTGAAATGTGTGTGTTTAAAAAAAAGAGTGTTAAGTACAAAAACCCAAAATTCTATGTAGATTGCAACTATTTATTTATTTATTTATTTATTTTTTAATCCTCACACGAGGATATTTTTCTATTTATCTTCATATAGAGTAGGAGAGTGGGAGAGAGGGAGAGAGAGAGAAACATCGATGTGAGAGGGACACATCGACTGGTTGCCACCTGCACGACCCCAACCAGGGCCAGGGACGAACCGCAACCAAGGTACGTGCCCTTGACTGGAATCGAACCCGACGAGTCATTGGTCTGCTGGCTGACACTCTAACCACTGAGCAAAACCAGCCAGGGCTATGTGGCTGGAAATTGAAAATTTTAAGTTCTGGCCAGTGTGGCTGAGTTGGCTGAGTGTCATCCCATGCACTAAAAGGTCACTGGTTCAATTCCTGGTCAGGGCACATGCCCAGGTTGTAGGTTCATCCCCATTTGAAGTACGTACAGGAGGCAACTGATCGATGTTTCTCATATCGATGTTTCTCTCTCTCCTTCTAAATCAATTTAAAAAGGCATTCAGTGAAAATTCTCCCTCCCACACCTATCCCCCCATTTCCCCAGTTTCCCCACCTTCACCGCCCAGTAAGCACTTTTATTCATTTCTTATGGATCCTTCCAAAGTTTCTCTGTGTCAGTACAAACAAATGAGATCATACTTATCCTGCCTCAAATGGTAGCATACTACACACCGTTTGGTCAACAGTGTATCAGTTTATCTTGAAGATAACTGGACACAGTCTGCTGACTCACACATTTTTAGAGTTGCATTATTATTCCATTGTGTGGATGTACCATAATTTATTTAATCAGTCATCTCCAGGTGGACAGTTTGAGCTGTTTCTGATCTTTCCAGCTGGCCTTCTTCAGCCTTCCACACCCTGGCCAACCTTGCTGTGACATCCCTTCTATTCCCCAATTCCCGGCTCCACCGTCCTGAGCCCTGCAGGGCCGGCACACCTCCTCCATGCCCTCCACACATCCTCGTCCACCCCACTGCTCCTCCGTCTGAATCTCTGACCCACTGTTAGTCTCCTTGTCATTTCCCTCCCCACTCTTTCTCTCTCCAAATAGACTAAAGCAACTCGAACTGAGTAACCATGACCTTGATTTCTCTGGCTCCTTCACAGCCCAGAGCTGGGCACACAGCAATTCTCAAGAATATTAGTTATATAGTGGAAGTTGCATATAAATAGAGCCACTCAATGAGGGCTCTGCTGGGGCTGGTTCTGGGTGTAAGAGCCAGGAGCTACCCAAGTTGAGAGGCATCTCATACCTCAGAGGTCTCCAAAAGAGAAGCCCTTATCTTGTGCCTGAGTATCTAGAGCAGTTGGTTGGGTTGTAAGGATGTCTAGGGCATGATGAGGCATCTCGAGTTCCCTTGTTCCCTTCCTGGGTAGGCAGCGGGCGGAACTACAATGTGGAGAAAGGAGGGTGGAGGGATAAATGGTATGGGTATGTGTGCATGCCCTAGAACAAGCTCCTTCCCTTCTCTATTAACATCCTTGTCATCCTTCATGGGCCAGATCAAATCTCAATTTTTCCAAGAAGCCTTCCTGGACTTTTCCAGCCCACACTGACCCCTCCTCTGAATCCCTGCTGTGTGTATTCGTGAAGGCAAACACTGGTTTTTACCTGCAGCCTGATACCTCTAATTATGTAAAACCTGATCTCCCTGGTGAGACCCAAGAGCCTCCACTGTAGAAATAAGACTTCTCTAGTTCTCTTATATCCATCCCCACACACCCCGAACCCTCAGCCCAGCACCAGGCAAGGGATTCCACGGACACTCCTTGAATGAACAAGAATTGGCTCCAGGAGTGCCGTGGTGGTGGGTGGGGTGGGACAGGTTTGACCATAGGCGTGTCCCCAACCAAAAACACTTGGGGAACACCTCACAGCCAGTCTCCGAAGGTCCAACTCATCCTGCCTGTTGATGCTGGAGCAAGTAAAGGGGACTTTTCAAAAACATCATTGTCATGAAAAATAAAGGCATGGGACTGTGCTAAATTAAAGGAGTAAAGGGACACGACAAGCAAATGTAGTGTGTGAATCTGATTAGACTGTGGATTGAAAAAAATGGAAATGACATTTGGGAGAGGGTAATAGTGTACTGATGCTAAATTTGACTGTGATGACTGTACTGTGGTCACTTAGGAGAATGTCCTTATTCTTTTTTTTTTTTAATCCTCACCCAAGGACACTTCTCCATTTTTGTTCAGATAGAGTGGGTGGGAGGGAGAGAGAGGGAGAGAGAGAAACATTGACGTGAAAGGGACATATTGAGTGGCTGCCTCCTCAACTGGGGCCGGGGTCAAACTGCAACGGAAGTACGTGCCCTTAGTGGGAACTGAACCCGGGTCTCTCTGGACCGCAGGCCAATGCTCTAACCGCTGAGCCAAACCCGCCAGGGCAGACTGTCTTTATTGTCTTTATTGTTGTTGTTTTTTAATCCTCACCTGAGGACATTTTTTTTTTTTTTTAGATATTTTGTTCAGATAGAGTGGGAGGAAAAGGGAGAAACATAAGTGGTTGCCACCCATACGACCCAACCAGGGTGGGGGACAAACTGCAAGTGAGGTACATGTCCTTAGCAGGAACTGAACCCGGGTCTCTCTGGACCGCAGGCCGACACTCTAACCGCTGAGCCAAACCGGCCAGGGCTGTTCCTTATTCTTAAGCAATGGAAGCTGAAGTATTGATTGGGGCGGGGAGATGGGCCATGATATCCACAACTTTCAACCTTCAGCAAATGAAAACTGAAGAATAAGTGTGCGTGTGGAGACAGAGAGAGAATGCAAATGTGACGCCACGTTAACAACTGGAAAATCCAGGAGGAAGGAATACAGGTGGTCATTTTACTGGTCTTTCAAATTTTCAAAATGAAAAGTTGAGGAGGAAATGCCTTTAGAACAATGCTCGATACAATTCCGACTTCCTGGGAGAAGGAGAAGGAAAGGCCGCAGGGGCCGTGCCAGGAGCTGCGGGAAGCACACCTCTGTGCCAGACGCCACCTCTGCCCGCCTTCCTGCTGCCCAGGGAGCCTCGACATGCAACCCTGTGGCCTTTCCCACACCCCCACTCAGCCTCTTCACACCACCTCGGGGACCTGGCTGACCCCGCTTCCCCGGTGGAAGGCCACCCCATCCCCGCCCTGGCTAGGAGGGTACCCCATGCACGGTGAAGGTCCACAGCTCACTTCCCTGGAGAGGGAACCCCACCCTAAACCCTTGAGTTTTTAAAAATTATATTCACTTAATTTTACAGAAAAAAAAAAACCATCGAGGTACCAAAAAATGTCAAGATTTAGTCATCCTACACTCTCTTTGGAGAATATTTCCAGCTTTGTCATCAGATCGGGATGCTAGTGGATTCCTTTTCGCGCTCACCCTTTTTTCTTAGGGGCATTTCGTTGTATCCACGGACGACTAGCGAGCTGGCCTGAGCCAGGGGTGTCCCCCTTGCTGGGCACAGTCTCTTCCGAAGTTCCCCTACTGACCAGGTCATGACCCTCCAGAGAAGTAAGGGACTTGCCGGCTCCCTCCCCTCCGCGGGGGCCGGGGTGGAGGGGCCCGGAGGAGCCCTGGGGAGGGCCCCCCTCCAGGCGCGGGCGGGCCCCCAGCCCACGGGCCGTGCCAACAATGGCCTGTTGTACAGGAGGCGGGCAGGAATGCGGCCGGGGAAGTCGGGCGGCCGGGGGCGGGGCCGCGCTCGCCGCAGCTCTTACCTGTCCAGGTAGCTCGCATTTCCCGGCGAGCGGCGACGCCCGCACCACCTGTCGCCCGCCGCGCGGCGGGGAGCACTGCAGGGGACATGGGCTGGTAGCGCGCCCCGGGAGACGGTGCGGGGTTCAGTCCCGGGACGGCCCTTACCCGGTGCCCGCGTGGCCTGCGGCAGCATGAAAAAGAACCAGACGGTGCAGGGCACCTTCAGCAAAATCTTCGGCAAGAAGCATGCCAACCCCAACAGCACCTCCCTGTACGTCACCAATCCCCCCTGGATTTTCACCCAAGAGGCCCCGGAGGAGGGGACCAGGGGCTTCGGTAAGTGCGCCCGGGGAGAGGGTGGCGCTCCCCCTCCCCGGCCCCGGGCTTTCGGCGGGACCCGGGCGGAGGGGCCGGGACACGTTGGAACCTGTGGACCGGCCAGGAAGGAGCTGCCGGGAAGGGAGGTGGCGCCGCAGCGGGCGTCTCTGGGAAAGAGCTGTGGGGGATGAGCGCGCCAGGGGGACCCTCCCAGCCGGAGGGCGGGGTCCTTCGCGCTCCGCCGCGGATCCCAGTTTCTCTCCCGAGGTGTTTGTTTTCCCTCCTCCTGGAAGTTAGGGTTGCCTTGCTTGAGGCTTCCAGGGGTTTGCGGAACTCCCCCCGCCCCAGCCGTCCTGTTGAGTCAGAAGTGTCCCCCACAACTCAGGGCTAGGGGTGGTCCCTCAACACTCACCGTTTCTGCTTCCTCTGTTCCCTTCAGTGCCCCCCCCACACACACACACACACACTTTCCTGCCCAGGGTCATAGGCAGAGACGTCTGCTATGTGGGCGCCCACATACTCTGCACAGGGGAGGCCCAGGAGAAGTCAACAGGAGCCACTGCCAGCTGGGTACCAGCCTGTGCAAGACGCCAGCTCACTCGCTCACCGGGGCGGGCTCGTCTGTGTGCTCAGGTCTAGAAGTTGGCGATGGGACAGTGGAGGCCAGGAAGCCTCTCCCGCGTGAGCCTGGCCCTGGGTCAGCGGTGTGTCTCCGCAGGCATCTGAAAACACCAGCTGGCCCAGCCTTGGGACTCCGCCTGCAGGTCACCCTATTACGGCATCTTTCCGCATTTTGTACCTTCTGTAACTGAGAGGAAACCAGGCAGGTAGGGGCAGGAATTCACTTCTTGCATATGACCCAAGGCTCTGGGTCCAAGAAAGGTCACCCATCAGTGCTTTAGCTCACCTGCCTTCATTGTCACCCCATTACCTTCACTGACCTTTATGGCCACTGTGCTGGCACCCACAGAGGATGTTGTAGCCTCAGCACCTGCTGTTGGATTCAGTTCAGCGCCCAGGTTGTCACGGCAGGGACACTAGCTACTAGCTACAAGGACGGGAGCAGGGCAAACAAGAGGTTGCCTCTCCCTGGCCCCAGGATCCCAAAACATGGGCGAAGTTAACCACGTGCCATTTAGCCCATTCCAAGCCTTTGCTATAAAAGATTAAGTGCAGAAGGAGCAGAGAGGAAAGATGACCTCTGATTGCAACTAGCATTTGAGCTGAGAGGAAAGAGCATCGAGCATTCTGCAGAGCAAACAGCAGGAGCAAAGGCTAGGAGGGGCTGGGCGGTTTGGAGGCACGGTTTAATACATGTGTACGGCCAAGTATAACTCTGTGAGGCAAACATTTATTCATCCCCTTAGGTGCAAGGTACCATTCTAAAGTCCTCGTGTTGTTGACTCGTGGAATCCTCATCTAGCCTGTGATGCAGGTACTATCATTCCTGTTTGACTGGCAAGGAGACTGAGCCACAGGGAGGTTAAGTAACATGTCTCAGATCACACAGCTTTAAATGGCCAAGCCAGGATTTTCTTAAGCATACAATGCAATGAGTTTTAGTAGACTTACAGAGTTGTGCAACCATGACCACAGTTGTGTTTTAGAATGTTCTCATTGCCTCAACATTTCCCTCAGAGACAGAGCCAGTATTTGAACCCAAGCAGTCAAGGTCCAGAGACCACACTCTTAGCCAGCTTGCTGAATTGATTTTGTGAAAGGTAATTCAAGGGTGAATTTGACTTGAGGGGACATCTACCTGAGAACCCCACCACCGCAGACACACTTCTCTACATTTTTGCCTACTGAGCCAGCTGCGGGTGGGGATCATTCCCTCTGGTGAGAGAAGTGGGGGCATGTGCCCTGTCATCTCCAGCCAGCTGCTGCCTTCACCAGCCTGGGCAGAGCTAGAACCCAGAGGGCAGCTCCTCCCATTCCCCAGAGCTGGGCTGGGCCCCCAACTGACTCAGCCTGGTGGCACTCTGCACATGGAGGGGTGGGAGACAACGTGCACCCAGCAGGCTGGCTCTCCAGTGTTTCAGGGGTGTCCTGTCGGGTGCCAGTGGGTGTGGCTCAGCTCCTCCTTCCTGCTGAACAGGACGTGTACTTGGAGTTGAGGATGGGAGGGATCAGTATTGGGGATTCTGTATTGGTGATTTCAGACCTGCCTTGGGTTCCTGCCTCTGCCAGTAATGTGGAGACTAGCCACTCTCTGGGTCTCAGTTTTTTCCTCCATTAAATGGGGACAGTGTCCAGTCTGCCTACCACGACTGCTTGAGGTTTGTATATGGCAGTGCTTTGAAGAGCATTAAAAAGAAATGCCCTAAAGCAAGCATTGGCAAATTATGGAGTTGGCTCAAATCTAGCCCATGGCCTGTTTTTGTAAATAAAGTTTTATTAGAACACAGCCAGCCACGCCCATCACTTACATATTGTTTATAGCCGATTTCCTGCTACAGTGACAAAATGAAATAGCTGCACGGAGACTGCACGGCCACAAAGCTGGCCCTTTATCCTTCCAGCCCTGGGCTCTCCCCACTCTTGCTTTATTTTCTCTTCCGAGCATTGCTGTAAACCAGAGGAAACTGAGGCATGAAGAGCTAGCCTAAGATCTCATCGGGTTCCTGAGTCTGGGACATTCTCTGTGATGTTAGCAGTATCCAGCCCTTGGAGAACAGGGGTTAGGATGGAAGGGGAATCATGTATGTGTGTGTAAGGGAAGCAAGGAGGAATCGTGTATGTGTGTGTAAGGAAGGTAAGGAGGAATCGTGTATGTGTGTGTAAGGGAGGTAAGGAGGAATCGTGTATGTGTGTGTAAGGGAGGTAAGGAGGAATCGTGTATGTGTGTGTAAGGAAGGTAAGGAGGAATCGTGTATGTGTGTGTAAGAGAAGCAAGGAGTAACCCTTGCTCTGTGGCTACGATCATGTAAAAGTACACCAGGTGGGCTGGGCGCAACAGGTAAAATGCAGTCATGTGAAGGTGGTGATGAATCAATTTTTCTTTAAAGAATTTCCCTAACATTTAGTCCAGAAATGTACTTCACTTGAGGGCTTCACTTAAAGCAATTGCAATCCTAATTAAGCCTCCTGCCTTCCCCTAGCCCACGGATGGGTCTTAGGCTGCATAGTTGTTTTTTAAATGCAGGAGAAAGCAGAGAGGTGGCTCTTTGCAAATCCTGAGCTGAGGATTAAGCTGCAGCAGCCTCAGACCAGGCTCTCTGGACTCCTTCCTTTGTCTCTTGGATTTAGCCGAGCTTCTATTATCTATATCTATGGCCGCCCCAGCCCAGCCCAGCAACGGCACACTCTGCTTGCTGGGGAACTCTGTTTTCCCTCTAAATGTCAATCACCTTTGTCACAACCACCCAGGCCGTTTATTTAAAATGCAGATCTCTGGGGTCCCACCTCAGGCACCTGAGTCAGAATCGCTGGGCTGGGGCGCAGGGTCTGGATTTTTACTAACTACTAGGTGATTCTTTGGTACAGGAAGATGGTGTACAGGTTTCCCTCTCCAGGTGGGAGCTGGGCCATTCTCTTTCCCCTTAAGACTTCCTGCTGGTTCTGTTATTCCTGCACCTAGGGTCCCCTGACCTGTGTCTCAGGTGTAGGAAGCCATGAACCCCAGGAGCGGAGCGCTTATTTCCCGCCAGGGCTGGGCTGGCACCCACCTGCGGAAAGCTGACCTGTGCGGTGCAGGGTGTGAAGGAGACTGTTGTTTACTCCTGTCCCCTGGATGTGTGCAGTGGTTTGCTGGCAGTCAGAACGCACACACCCTCTCTGCTGCCCCATTATATAAGCTCCTCTTGTCTCCATAGTTCAGTTCAGAAACACAGGACTGAACTCCCTCGACCACTGCAGACGGGTTACAGGGCGCCCTTCTCTCCCAGAAAATAAATTAATATCAATAGCAGTATCATCATGATCAGTATTTCTTGAACCAGGCACTATGCTAAAAACTACATATGTGTTCTCAGCTGAGGAAACAGACTCAGATGCTCAGATAGGTTAGAGGACTCGGTCGTTGTGGCTCAGGGCCACTCAACAGTGACGTGCACCCTGGGACCTTTGTACTTTCCGATAGTTCCCGGGGACAGACCCCCTGGCAGGTCTGCAGACCCTGCTGTGAGGACAGGTCCTAGCTCGGTGGCAGAGGGCGGGTTTGCTCTGCCCCTCCCCCTCCAGTCCCTGCCCCCAAGGCTCCTTCCTCTGTTCTCCCTCCTCTGCTCTGTGGCTCCCTGCCCCACCCCAGCCCAACCTTCAGTGTCCCCTCTGCCCTTGAACAAAGGCCTCCCTCTGGTGCCGGGGTCAGGCCTGATGGGGCTTGCTGGGACAGACTGGCCTTTTCAGGTTCCTGTCACGTGGACCTGTTAATTAGCAATGAAGGGCCTCATTAACGCCATTGTGGGTTACATTCACATGGTGCCCCCTCACCCTCACTTCCCTGAAGAGCTGGGGCTCCCCTGGCGGCCAAGGATGCTCCACCTCAGTGAGCTAGAGGTGTGTGGGGGGTCTGTTCTGGGGTTCTAGGTCACTCTGGGTCAAAGCAGCAAACTCCCCCAGCTACACCACCCCCCCCCAGCCCCTGGAATCCGATTAGACTGGTGGCCAGTGCTGCTGGGGTCATTTGGGGGCTCCCAGCAGTTTGGGATTACACATCGTCACCCCCGCCTTCATCTTGTCCCTACTAGCTTCTTTCTCCCCACCCCAACCCCCCAATCTGGGGAGGCTTCACACAAAACAGGTGTAATTATCCCCCTATGACAGGTGGGGAGCAGCCTGAGGAAGTGCTCGAAGCCGGCAGGCATCACACGGAGGGCCCAGGTTCTGATTCCTGGGTTCTTTTGTGTCCCCCAGGCCTCACCAACTTTTTTTTTTTTTTTTTTTTTTTATCCTCACCAGAAGACATTTTTCCATTTTTTGTTCAGGTAGAGTGGGAGGGAGAGAGAGGAACAGAGAGAGAGAGAGAAACATCGATGTGAAAGGAACACATCGAGTGGCTGCCACCCGCACAACCGACC